TATCACGCAGATGTTAGTCTTCTTGATCCAGGTCTTGTATATGCTTGTAAATATATTGCACATTATATATATTGTACATTGGTCTTGTAAATATATTGTATATTTCAGAGAAAAAAAAAATGAGAAAAAAAAGAAAATAATTATCTATCTTGAAATTCAATTGTGGTTGTTAGGTCAGAACTTTGTTCCATTAATGTAATAATTGTTTAATTTTGCATGGTTTTCAAGCACATGCCATTGACACATGTTAATAATTTTGTTTAGGCAATACCTTGAGTTGTATTGTTCATATCTGATCAGTAGACATACACATGTTCTTAATACTCTGGTTTATTCAAAGCATTGTTACCATGATTTTCACCTATTATGATGAATTTTTTTTTGGTGCATATATGCCGAGTTGTTTGTATTACGCACACCTGATCTTCTTTCAATGTTTTATTATGCAAATTTCACATGTAAGCCATTATTGTATGCCACCGAGGTCCTTTCAGTATCATTGTAACTATATAGCTAGCCAGAGCTTGTCGACAAGGGACGTCGACTTGGTAGCGTGTCCGAGCGGTGTTATACTCAAATTCTGTCAGTTGAAATGTAACCAATCACAGGCGAGTAGGCCTCTGACGTCATGCCAGACAGAGGAGCATCAGCCATGCTCCCAGCAGCCTCAGTTATCCTCACAGACTCAGAGTAGAAGGACCTCAGCTAGGCAGATATATACCTTGCTATCTAAGTCAATAAATATATACAGAAGCGACTACTGTGTCTACATTCTACCCGAACAAGGCAAACGAATAAGTTACCCATAGAAAACGTAACCTGTAGTGGAATTACCGTCTATAGAAAACGGGATATCATTACCACATACTATTATAATTCACCACCTATTATGGTGGGAATTATTCTTAAATACATTAGTCTTTGGACTTTACCATCATAAAAACATTTCATATAAATTAACTTAATTATCAGTATTAAAGTAGAGTAAATGTGACCCTTCTATCACTTATTGACATCTGGACAATGTAAGCTAGGCGTCAGAGTGAGGAAGGAGGGGAGCCATTGTTGTGTTACCTCCGAGACGCGTGGAGCAAATTCGGCTCCTATCATATCTGTACAATGTCGGCCAGGCGTCAATAGTATGGAGTGTTAGACATTGCCATTGTTTATATTAGACCAGAGGCACACGGGAGCAAATACGGCTCCTGTTAATTTTACTTGGACGTAGTGTTATGGAAACCAAAGGTGTACCATTATCAACACGCTGTCAACAAATCAAGTTAAGTGTTCTTTCCGAAACCCATTATCTATCATTAGTGGCCATTAATGTCATTGGGTAGGGTTAGCCAGTTAGAGCACGAGATAGCCTCAAACTAAAGGTAATTAAGCCAGGTCTTTATTGTTCCATGTACAGTATTTTCTCTGATATACCTGTCATATATAGGTATCTGGCTTTACAGCTAGCGCCCTTTTGACAGGTCAAGACGAGGAAGTATTTTTGTGCATCAGTTACCAGGGTGATGGAAGCTACTTCAAAGAGGGAAAATGTGGAGTCTACACCCTAGTTATACCTGGTGGACTAACCTGCTGTACTATAAGATAAGGAACCTCTTCAATGTATGTAGTCTAATACTGTAGTTTGATTGGCTGCATATATATAAATTAAATTTAATAAACCCCCCCTAATGTGTAGAGGATCGATTTGTGAGATTAAGAGATTATTGCAGAAATACAGTCCACTCATTATCATACAAATTGCTATCGAAGTATATAAATTAACGTAAATATAAATTCATATAAATTAAATAAATATAAATTTCACAGGTCGGTTCCCACATTATTTGGTCATCTTCGAACCGGATGACAGATTATTTGATCCTTTGAACCCACATTTGGTCATCTTAGTACCGGATGAACCAGTTATCCAGTGGATTCATTAAATAACTAGTGCAGTGTGATTTAAACAAGCCAGTCAAAGACGGCAGCGTTGGCTCGAACGAGCTCACGAGCCCCGCTCAGTTCAGATCAGCCTTAGTCAGCGGTTTCATGTACACCCACAGATTTGGTGGCGTGTTATTCTGTGAAATGACAGCGCTAATATAGAAGCCAGCCAAATTAGTGACTGTGTCGCGAGATTGTTCACGGATTTCGTGGTGTTAAATTTCACGAGAGATTATCTACGAATTTTGTGGAGTTTATTTCGCGAGGTCACTAATAATATTTAATACTTCTAGATAATATTAGAAGTTTCATAGAGGCTAATTAAGAGGCTATTATCAATAATTGTATATATTATTTCTCCAAAATAGAGAATTATTTAATATATATTGCACTAGTGATCACAGTATAATATTTACTAATTGCCAACCCACAACAGGGTAGGATATGACTAGTTGAACTATTATTGCTCATCCTAGTCCCATTATTACCATAGTCAGTTGTATTATATTGATCAACCTAACACCATTAATGAATGGTCCAGACCCTATTTTGGGTGTAATTTTTATCAACTCGAATTGAGTTGTAATATATAATAATTTACTTATGATCATTACACCTTTGAGTGATTAATTAGTGTCTCTTCCATCCTAGGGTGATATAGAGGAGCTAACCTAAAGGTACTTCCAGTGACACTGGTTTATCACTCAAATCATTAGTGTGTATGATTGTATATATATAATGTGTATTAATTTTAAGTGCTAACCTCTAGTAGAGGTAGGATTATTGCCTAGTGAGTGCATTTTACCCTAGGCTACCATTAGAGCTTGTTCAGTATTATGAGCAGCCCAAGTACAAGTCCCACAAGGCTTCACCAACTAGCCAGTATGGATAATGCAGGGAGAATGAAAAGAACCCTTGCAGGTCTTAAAGGCCACTTAACAAGACAGATCAAGAAATGTGAAGATTTGTCACAACAATCTCAAGTTGATTATGCTGACCTGGAAAGCTATTATCAAGCAGCTACAGGTAAATTTGAGCAAATCAAATGCCAAATGGCTGTCCTTGTGGGGACAGACTACTACCATCGATTCATCAGTAGCCCTACTAAATATCAGGGCATAACCATGTTAAACTCTGCAGGAGGTAAATTACTCTCAGGCCCAGTATCAAGCCTGAGGAGACCTATGCCTGCAGATAAACATTACCAGTAGAAATCTAAATTTGTCAGCTGATTATATTTCTCCAGTAGCATTATACTAAGGAGATTACAGCTGACTATACCAACAGAGGTTGATGTTAGTATCATCATTTAAAGCTGAAGATGAATTCATGGGGCCTCAGTGGCAAATCAGTGAACGGTAGCTTAAACAGCTACAAGTCACTGCGACCAATGTCACTGAACCCACTGCAGTCTCAGAACCATACTTTACTTTAATGATGAGCTATTCAATCTTCTGAATCAATTAACTAAATTAAACCCCAATAAATCTGATGACTGATTTGATACATTTATTATTTAATCAAGATGTATTCCATGGGCCTCAGTGTTTATATATCAGTGACCAGTTACCTGAAGAAACTTCATGTTATATCTAATGTCACTGATCTCACTGCAGTCCCTGAATCATACTTGACTGTAGAACTTGATCACATTCAGTCTTCTGGGTTAAATAATATGTAATTAGGCTTGAATATTAGCCTTTCAAGAGTTGACAGGGAAATGAAATCGCATTAGACTTCTAACCCCTGCAACTCTAGTACGGGACATCCGTCCTGTACGAACAGACGCACAAATCTGTGACTACTAACTACTAACATCAAATTAATCTAATAATTCGAAGGAGGAGTATCGGTGTTCGTCTGTTCTAATTAGGACTTCGACCTGTGAGCAGCCCCTGGGGAATTATGTCGGAAAATCCGACACCATTTAATATATCATACAGACAGATAATTGCTGTATTGTATAAACAAGTTACCCATAGAAAACGTAACTTGTAGTGGAATTACCATCTATAGAAAACAGGATATCATTACCACATACTATTATAATTCACCACCTATTATGGTGGGAATTATTCTTAAATACATTAGTCTTTGGACTTTACAATCATAAAAACATTTCATATGAATTAACTTAATTATCAATATTAAAGTAGAGTAAATGTGACCCTTCTATCACTTATTGACATCTGGACAATGTAAGCTAGGCGTCAGAGTGAGGAAGGAGGGGAGCCATTGTTGTGTCACCTCCGAGACGCGTGGAGCAAATTCGGCTCCTATCATATCTGGACAATGTCGGCCAGGCGTCAATAGTATGGAGTGTTAGACATTGCCATTGTTTATATTAGACCAGAGGCACACGGGAGCAAATACGGCTCCTGTTAATTTTACTTGGACGTAGTGTTATGGAAACCAAAGGTGTTCCATTATCAACACACTGTCAACAAATCAAGTTAAGTGTTCTTTCCGAAACCCATTATCTATCATTAGTGGCCATTAATGTCATTGGGTAGGGTTAGCCGGTTAGAGCACGAGATAGCCTCAAACTAAAGGTAATTAAGCCAGGTCTTTATTGTTCCATGTACAGTATTTTCTCTGATATACCTGTCATATATAGGTATCTGGCTTTACAGCTAGCGCCCTTTTGACAGGTCAAGACGAGGAAGTATTTTTGTGCATCAGTTACCAGGGTGATGGAAGCTACTTCAAAGAGGGAAAATGTGGAGTCTACACCCTAGTCATACCTGGTGGACTCACCTGCTGTACTATAAGATAAGGAACCTCTTCAATGTATGTAGTCTAATACTGTAGTTTAATTGGCTGCATATATATAAATTAAATTTAATAAACCCCCCCCTAATGTGTAGAGGATCGATTTGTGAGATTAAGAGATTATTGCAGAAATACAGTCCACTCATTATCATACAAATTGCTATCGAAGTATATAAATTAACGTAAATATAAATTCATATAAATCAAATAAATATAAATCTCACAGGTCGGTTCCCACAAGTGTAAATATTTGCTTGATAGCTAAAGAAGACTATAAAATTACTTACCACGCACATCTTGAACGTTGACATTACTCCCAGCTTTGATCAATGTATTAATACAATCTATGCAACAAGATTCGTAGACAGCAACTTCCAGTGGTGTGGTAACTGTTGAAGATATATTAAGATTGTAAAAGAATGAGGGAAATATGAGAATGTTTCGGAAGTTTTAGTTAATAATATTTTTAATACTTATATAAAAAAATCTGGCGTGTTTCCACACTGAAATACAACACATTCTTTAATGTTGTAATGTTCTTTGTACTATTATATATGTACTCCGCAGAAAATTAAAGTCAGGGAATGCTCCATTTTTTACGCCCATATCAACCCACCGTCAGGCTATCTATATACAGGGAACCTACCATCAGGCTATCTATGCACAGGCAACCCACCATCAAGCTACCTGTCATCAGGCTACCCACCATCAGGCTACCTATCATCAGGTAGACCACACGCAGCCAAACTTGAACTAAGGACGGCTTCTAGTACTCCGGCTTCATCCAGAAAGCAATAGGCTTAGTGACTCTCAATAACAGACTGTCAGGAGAGCCAGCAAAAAGTTATCTGTATCTCCCATTGAAAGGGAATGATAAAAAGAGTTAGATTGTAAATACCGTAATGTGGAAATTGGTTTAAATCATCGACAGAGGGAAAAAATATAAAATTGCGGGAATGAGAACTTGCAGGCAAGGGAAAAATATTGCTATTTCATAAAAATACTTTACTCCTCCTCTGGTCCTTCATCCAGGTATTATGCAGTAACAACTTCAATTATTTTCGTGGAATACATAAAAAAAGTTTAGATAAGATGTATCCCACCCATTCTCTCCAGAACACCATGGTTAGATCAATTTCCTGGTTCCCATTTTCTGCATAGAACACCAAGATTAGATACGTTTCCTGGCACCCATTCTCCGTATAGAACAGCAACATTAGATCAATTTCATGGTTCCCATTCTCTGTACAGAACACTAACCAGTATAGAACACCAAGGTTAGATGTTTCCTGTTCCCATTCTCCGTATAGAACACCATGGTTAGATCAATTTCATGGTTCCCATTCTCTGTATAGAACACTAACCAGTATAGAACACCAAGGTTAGATACATTAAATGGTCCCCATTCTCTGTATATGACACCAAGGTTAGATCAGTTTCCTGGCACACATTCTCTCTATAGAACACCAAGGCTAGATTAGTTTCCTGGTTCCAATTCTCTCTCTATAGAACACCAAGGTTAGATCAGTTTTCTGGTTCCCATTCTCTGTATAAAACACCACCATACCTTACCTTGAGGTTACCTTGAGGTGCTTCCGGGGCTTAGCGTCCCCGCGGCCCGGTCGTCGACCAGGCCTCCTGGTTGCTGGACTGATCAACCAGGCTGTTAGACACGGCTGCTCGCAGCCTGACGTATGAGTCACAGCCTGGTTGATCAGGTATCCTTTGGAGGTGCTTATCCAGTTCTCTCTTGAACACTGTGAGGGGTCGGCCAGTTATGCCCCTTATGTGTAGTGGAAGCGTGTTGAACAGTCTCGGTCTGATGTTGATAGAGTTCTCTCTCAGAGAACCTGTTGCACCTCTGCTTTTCAACGGGGGTATTCTGCACATCCTGCCATGTCTTCTGGTCTCATGTGATGTTATTTCTGTGTGCAGGTTTGGGACCAGCCCCTCAATTTTTTTCCACGTGTAAATTATTATGTATCTCTCCCGCCTGCGCTCAAGGGAGTACAGATTTAGGCTCTTTAGTCGGTCCCAGTAATTTAGATGTTTTACTGAGTGGATTCTAGCAGTAAATGATCTCTGCACGCTCTCCAGCTCAGCAATTTCTCTAGCTTTGAAAGGGGCTGTCATTGTGCAGCAGTACTCCACTCTAGAGAGCACAAGCGTTTTGAAAAGTATCATCATCGGTATAGCATCTCTAGTGTGAAAAGTTCTTGTTATCCAACCTGTCATTTTTCTTGCAGTTGTGACGGCTACTTTATTGTGTTCTTTAGAGGTAAGGTCTTCCGACATGAGTACACCCAGATCCTTTACATTGCTTTTTCGTTCTATGTTATGATTTGCCTGAGTTTTGTACGTGGTTTCCGTTTTTATATTTTCAATTTTTCCGTAGCGCATGAGCTGGAACTTATCCTCGTTAAACACCATATTATTTTCTGTAGCCCATAGAAAGACCTGATCTACATCTGATTGGAGGTTTGCCGTGTCCTCTATGTTGCCAACTCTCATGAAAATCCTAGTGTCATCTGCAAAGGATGATACAGTGCTATAGGTTGTGTTCTTGTCTATGTCCGATATGAGGATGACAAAAAGTACTGGAGCAAGCACAGTACCCTGGGGGACTGAGCTCTTCACGGTTGATGGGCTGGATTTTATTTTGTTGACTATTACACATTGGGTTCTGTTAGTCAGGAAATTGTAGATCCATCTGCCTATTTTCCCGGTAATTCCTTTTGAACGCATTTTATGTGCAATAACACCATGGTCACATTTATCAAAAGCTTTTGCGAAATCTGTGTAAATTACATTAGCGTTTTGTTTGTCTTTCATAGCATCTAATGCCATATCATAGTGGTCCAGCAACTGCGACAGGCAAGAGCGCCCTGTTCTGAAACCATGTTGTCCGGGGTTATGGAGATGCTGTGATTCCATGTATTTTGTGATCTTACTTCTTAGCACTCTCTCAAAATTTTTTATGATGTGCGATGTTAGTGCTATCGGTCTGTAATTTTTTGCCTCTGCTAAAGGCAATTTTTTCAGGCAATCTAATTTTTTTACCAAGGCTAGATCAGTTTCCTGGTTCCAATTCTCACTATAGAACACGAAGGTTAGATCAGTTTTCTGGCACCCATTCTCTCATTAGAACATTATACTTAGATCAGTTGCTTGACATCCATTCTCTATAGTACACCACGTTTAGGTTGGTTGTTTGCACCCCATTGCATATAGGACACCTGCAATTAATAAAGTCTGTCCAACCTGTGGCTGCTGCCTGCAGTTAGTCACCCACGTGAAGCTCTGTTGGTCGGAGTACACAATGACTGATTCAGTTTCTCGACATCGAGTGCTCTAATTGTACTTACTTACAATTTTTTTAATTTTGCTTTAATTGTAATTTTAATGTATTTTATCGTACATAGAATAACAGTCACCAGATGGCAATTGAACAGTTTTGAGACAGTAGTCTATATCCATCAATCATTGGTTATGTACATTGGGAAATCATTACAATCATTGGGAAAGTTACTTGAATCAATAATTGCAAATACAATTCGTCTCCATCTTGAAAAACATAAATTAATAAATGAGTCGCAACATGGTTTTACAAATGGCCGTTCATGTTTAACAAATTTGCTAACTTTTTATTCCAGCATAGTTGAGGCAGTTGATAGTGGTAAGGATTGTGATGTTGTGTACCTTGACTTTAGCAAAGCTTTTGATACAGTGCCACATGAAAGACTAATTAAAAAAATAGAAGCTCATGGTATTGGGGGTGCTATATTAACTTGGATTAGGGCATGGCTATTCCAAAGGAAACAGAGAGTTAGTATAAATGGAGTTAAGTCAGAGTGGGATAATGTTGTTAGTGGAGTACCTCAGGGCTCTGTCCTGGGACCTCTGTTGTTTATAATATATATAAATGATTTAGATTCAGGTTTGAGTAGCAACATTTGCAAATTTGCTGATGATACGAAAATCGGTAGGGAAATTAATTCGGAGGAGGACTCACTATTACTTCAAGTTGATCTAGATAGGGTTTTGAAATGGTCAAAGATTGGCAAATGCAGTTTAATGCTGATAAATGTAAAGTTCTGAGGCTAGGTAATGATGATAGAGTTACAAGATACGAGCTAGATGGTGTTGAGATTGCGAAGTCGGATTGCGAAAGGGATCTGGGAGTTATGATTAGTAAGAATTTAAAACAAAAGGATCAATGCATGAATGTTCGTAATAAGGCGAATAGGACACTGGGATTTATTAATCGAAGCGTTAGTAACAAGACACCTGGTGTGGTTCTTAAGCTATATCTTGCTCTGGTTAGGCCCCATTTAGACTATGCAGTTCAGTTTTGGTCGCCGTATTATAGAATGGATATCAATTCACTTGAACGTGTCCAACGTAGAATGACTAAGTTAATTCCCCAAATTAGAAATCTTTCATATGAAGAAAGATTAACAAAGCTTAAGATGCATTCACTGGAAAGGCGAAGAGTTAGGGGTGACATGATAGAGGTTTACAAGTGGGTGAATGGACATAACAAAGGGGATATTAATAGGGTATTAAAAGAATCAACACGAAACAATGGGTATAAAATGGATAAGTTTAGATTTAGGAAAGACTTGGGTAAATACTGGTTCAGTAACAGGGTTGTTGATTTGTGGAACCAATTGCCCCGTAACATTGTGGAGGTGGGGTCCCTCGATTGTTTCAAGCATGGGTTGGACATGTATATGAGTGGGATTGGGTGGTTATAATTAGGAGCTGCCTCGTATGGGCCAATAGGCCTTCTGCAGTTGCCTTTGTCCTTATGTTTTTATGTACACTTTCTATACCTTAAGCTCAAAACATTCAATACTGTAATACTTACGTATATTAGGAAGTCTAACTTCGATGTTGGCGCCAAAATCAACAAGTGTCTGCACAACAGATGGTATTCCAAGTTGGCAGGCATAAACCAACAGCGTTAGACTAGCTGAGAATAAAGATAATAATAATCATCGCATAAGGTTTGATTACATATTGCGGTCAGTAGTTTATCCTGCAGCAGCACTTCTCATACTATATTGACTTTAATATGGTCGGAAAAACATGCTTAATATTAAAATTCGTGCAAATGATTTCTCCCATTCTAAAAATAACACAGATATAACACATGTATCTCAGATATAACATGTAGCTGCGATGTAACATATGTATCTCAGATATAACACATGTATCTCAGATGTAACACATGTATCTCAGATGTAACTGAACTACATTCAGGTATTTCTGAATAGAAGATAATTTTCTAATATAAGGAATATTATTATATCAATAGAGACGCAGACGATGAGTCACAATAACGTGGCTTAAGATATGAGAACTAAACCTCACACCAGAAGATGAGGAGACGATAACGTTTTGCTCCGTCCTGGACCAGTATCAAGTCGTGTGTGTCGACTTGATAATGGTCCAGGACAGACCAAAACGTTGTTGTCGCCTCATCTTCTGTTGTCAATAGAGATATTACTTTTATTATTAAATATTAATGAAACCTTTAAGCTTCGACTTACTGGAGGATTCAGTCCGTAAAGCTAGAGCTGGGTTTTTCTTAATGAGTTCCACTGCAACCGAAGCATCAGTGGTTGACATTGCTGTTACAACTGCTTGTGCTATTAAATAAAGAATAATGTCAAGAAGAATTTCTTTGAAAAGTTCAGAAAAGTTTGTACCTAAATTTTTATAATTATTGATAAAGATGTTGTTTATTATTATTAATTTTATAATTTAAATTTGTATTATAAATAAAAATATGGACACTAAATGCATGCATGTATGACATTCAAATTTCGTATGGATGGTATAAGAATGTGGGATTTACTGTCTTTCATTCTCTTGTATGTTATTTATTGTAATAACATAATGTTGTTGTTGTTGACTGAGGAGCCACGACGATCGAGGGATCAAGGATGGGATCGCTACAGCCTTTTTCGGGCTGGAGACATGCCCAGTGAGGCAAATGATAAGGCAAATAATTTCCTAACGGACTTTTTCATCTCTTGCACCTGCCTCATTGAAGGAAACAGGAGCAGTTAGGCTGAGAATTTGCAACCCATACACGGTACTTTGTAGTCTGAAATGAGCACTATAAAACCTTAGGCAGTGGATGAGTACTACAGTATCCTCCTGGTTTGGACACCACTAACAGAAGGGTGAATCTACCAACCGTAGACGATGTAGATGTGTCCGTCAGGCAGGAGTTCTCAATCCGAAGCGAGAGAGGGCTATGTCGAGACGAGAATGGTGATGGGCCCTCGGACGTCGGGAGCCTCTTAGTGGCTTGCTAGAGAAAAGGACCAACGGGCCGGCACCATCTTCACTTCCCATACCGCTAGGCAAGCTTCACAAAGCTGCGGGAAAGTTTTTTAAGGTTCAGAGGCTCTTGTGTAAGTTCCTGAAGGCAATGCGCTATCTCCTTTTCCTTCTTGCCTTCATCTGCCTTTCAGGCCTCACTCCACGCCGAACCGAGCTCCAGCAGGCCGTCTCGCCATTCTGTCCTAGCTGCTGTGTTAGTTACTTCATTGCTATTAATCACGACATGTGACAGAACCCAAAGAAGAGAGGCCAACCAAATTGGGGATCCTGAGCATGACAGCAGCTTCCTGCGGATCTGTTACAAATCATGATGTTGGATAAACAGACGCAGAGATGATATCAGGTGTAGGGCCGTAACAGAGCTCATGTGTTCAAGTCATCCAAAACTTGGCAGGTATCCTGTGCACCAAGCCTTCGCGGTGTGGTGCCTTCTTTTGATAATTAGTTACTTGGCAGGTATCCGGAAACTGGCCAAATTAGTGGGCAAACTGTCTAGCCGTTACTGGTAAACAAGGGTTATAAAGAACTCCAATACTGCCCCACACATGGAAGAGGGCACCCTCACCACCATGAACTCCAGATGCCCAACCGAAAAAGTGCAGAGCTGGAGCAAACAACTGGGGACTGAGTCCCTGACCAAGAAGGCAAACGGCCCTCCACCCCGCACTGGTTGATCTCACAGAGTCCCACGACCAACAATGACGAGCTAGCGAGAAAGTTGTAAAGGAATTGTGTCTTCTCAAAAAGGGAACGGGCATTCCAAAATACAGTATTCTCAGGACGGGAAATAACTTTCTGACCACAAAGACCCAGACATAACCAAAGAAAAACAAACAGAAAATACCATACAACTTTTATACATCGTATGAAAACGTGGGATATCAATTAAAGACAATCCAAGGGCTGCTGAGTGGAGCATGCCTCTGCTGATGTGAGTGGTGGTTGGCTTGCAAACCCTCCTGCCAGGACATGCGAATGACAGGTGCTGCACGCTGGGTCACGTGTTACTCTGACGGAACAATTTCCTGGGAAGGCTCCTGGGGGGAGCGGGGGGGGGGGGGGGGCGGCAGAGGATCATTAGGTGTATCTGATGGACTGGAACCTCCTGGCCGATGGTTGTGTAGACGACGTCGGTGCTAGCTCCTCTTAGGAGAAGCAGGAAGGTGATGAGTGCCGGGACTCCAGCTGGAACTAGGCGTCCATGTCTGAATATGTGGTAGAGTTCTCAACGATGTCGAAGCAATGCAATGGGGAAAACTGAATAGCGGCCTGGACATATGAGGCATGCAGCTAGGACAGGCAACAGTCAGCTAGACCCGACCTCAGGGAAGTAGGAGTCAAGAAGAAACGGTAGGCTGATTGAAGGCATGTAGTTTCTGGAATAGCTCCTGTCAAAAGATTGATTGATCATCCCTCTGATTTGTGGTTGGTCATCCCTCTGATTTGTGGTTGATCATCCCTCTGATTTGTGGTTGGTCATCCCTCTGATTTGTGGTTGATCATCCCTCTGATTTGTGGTTGATCATCCCTCTGATTTGTGGGTGATCATCCCTCTGATTTGTGGTTAATGTCCAACTTGAGAGCCTCAAGGTTTACCAGGCAACTCTTAGATGAGACCGTGTGAGGACCGAGACATTAAAATGGATAAGCGATTCTTAGCGAAGCATTTATTCATTTCCTTAGCTAACATGGCAGGTAGTGTGACCTTCATGCAACACCCAAAGAAGAGTTCACCACACGAATTGCCAAGCATTCCATGCAGTGTTGCACAGTATTTTCTGAGAAAATCATACACACCATGTTTCTAGGATCGTCCTTCTACATGAGGACAGCCTATCGTTTTCATGAGGGGTTGCGTGATCCGCGCTCACTTCTCCATTTGCATGTGGTTGTAGTGACATCACATGGCGTTTTTTAATCAAATATGCTCAGCAAAGTTGGTGAAGTCTTGTCCAATGAATGACAGTTCATTGTCACTCTTGACAACTTCAGGAATGGCAAAACTTGAAAAGATCTTGGTGAGTTTTAGGATGACAGCCTTTTCACATGTGGAAGTGATGATTTCAACGTCTGAGTAATGCGAGTGAAAATCAACGACTACCATCAGGTATTCTCCAGTTGGTGACGGTCTACAAAAGTCTGTCGATACTTCCTTTCATGGTGCAGTAGGTAGTGATGAAGGTTATAGAGGTGCTGTCTTGAGGTATCTACTGCAGCTTAGCAAAGGCATGTCATTTGCTTGACGATCAATGCCAGGAAACCGCACCGTCTCTTGCACCAGCGGATTGGTTCTTGTTAGGCCTTGGTGTTCTTGATGTACAAGCTTCAGAGCACATTGCTGGAGAACTGCTGGAATGAAGATACGAGTACCTCGCAGCAAGGTGTCACGCTGTTGTGAATCACTTAATTCTGCCTGGATAAATTCAGGTGTATCGATTCAGAATTGACACTCGTGAAGGTGGGATGCATGGAAAAATTTTCTTGGCCACTGCATCCACTGTTGCTAATGTAGTTGGATTCCCCCAGAGTCGCAATACGGATCTCATCAAGGGAGAGAATCTTAGTGATTCTGTATTCACAGGTTACAAAATGTACATATTCCTCGGCAACTTGCTGATGCTTGGTGATAGTGAACCTGTTGGCAGAATGTCGACTGAAGTAATCAGCGGGATTGCCTGTACCCGGCTTGTACTTCATGGTAAGGTTGAATGGTTGCAGACATCTCTCAATGAGAGCTGGTGGTTTGGACTTCGGATTATTGAAGATGGTCTCCAACGGCTTGTGGTCAGTGACTGTCGTGGTGAAAGGTGCCTAAGCCGATACACATTGAAGTGTTCACAGCCCCATACAAGAGCAAGAGCTTACTTCTCTGTTTGATTGTATCGTTGTTTACCATGGGTGAGGAAACGGATGGCGTAGGCAATTACTACTCTGGAATCTGATTGACTAGGTTTGTGTTGGGCTAAAACCGCACCTAAACCAACAGGACTGACATCCACTGTAAGTTTAATATCCAGTGATGGGTCAAAGTGGGGAGTATTCGCATTCTTTACAAGTACATCTTTCACAGTAATTCAATTTCTTTCTTTATTAGGTTCCCAATACCCCTCCCATGGGCGGTGAAGGAAAGGGTTACAGAGGCACATAATTGGTTCGGGAATTGTACCCCATAGTTAATTTAGCTAAGCAAGTGACAATCTTTGAAGCTAGTTAGTAGTAGTATGCTTCCATGAGTCTCAGGAGACTATGGAGTTGCGCTCTGGTTGTCGGTCTGGAGTGACCTCTCCAGGGTTCATACCCAGGGTAGATTAATATGGAGAAAAAGGTGTTACCCAAGCAGCACGGCCCCTCCCCCCTCTTTAGCACGGTGCCGAAGTCTCCAATGGAAAGGCAATCGCCAATACGACTGGTTCCAGCGCCGTCGCAGGAACTGTGAGCTCCAGAGTTGACCTTGAAGTTGGTGAAAGAAGGCACAGGGACTCCACCCGGAGAGCGCAGTGGTCGGGGCCGGATAAGAACCTCCCCATCAAGGGCAAGAACGACCCCAGCCTCCTGAAGCAGAGCTTGTGCCACACGAGCCCCAGGAGGTGGACGTCCCAGACCAACGTCTATGGGTTCCAGACAGAGATCGTCACAGCCCTCTTTCACCCGAGGCCAACTTCCTTCAAGACTAAGCAGAAGGAAGAGTGATAATTGTTAAATACAACAATTATTATTAAAATAATAATTATAATAATTTAATAGTTACACAATTGTAAATGTTACATAGACATGTACATATATAAACAATCATTTACACAAATTCAACAGTAACTATACAAGGCAATTTACATCTATGGTGAGTCAAACAGTTACTAGTCTTGCTCCACACCCACCCAACGGGGCAGCAGCTTTACAGTCATGCATAAGCTTTTGAAGCATGCATTAGCTACAGTAAGCAAATTTGGGATATTTCAATAGGATTCTCGGCAGCACATCATTGTGAATGAAGTACGTACACTTTTCTTGGAGCCCATTCATGGTGTTATCTCTTAATTCCGTGATTTTTTCACATTCCATTGTATCACAGCAAAATCATTTTGCTTGATATTCCTCGAGTACCATGATATATTTATCTTCAGGAGCTCACGTAGAGGTTTGATAATGTTAACAAAATCTGGAATGACAACAGTAGTGTGCCATTCCTGGAAAACTAACTTCAGTGGATGTTAAAAAAAACGGCAACATTCTTGATATCAGCAACTATCTTAGCATCCGAAGAAAGGCTTTTGGGACTAAGAACATTTTCAAGGAACTAAAATTTTATGGTGATCGAAGTTCCTCTTTTCTTCCATGAGATTCTTTTCTCATAAGTGTTGCAATGTTGCACGAAGGGCTTTTCAAGTTTAGCTTGGATACGGCTATAAACAATGATGTCAGGGAAAATCCATAGGAGCCGTGATGAGGATTCAAACCTATGTGGTGGGTATTTCCACGCACACGCCCCAGACAACCAGGCCACGACATGGTCAAAAGGATTGCACCCAGGTGTTCTACTGAACACACGAGGGTTTCCTGCGGCTTCCACTGAAACCGGACCAGGATTTTCAAACAATTCTCAATGCACTCTGGCTCAGTCACCAGCCTTAGCCTGAGCCTCATTGGAAACCTCCGGAAACCCTCTTGTGTTCAGTAGAACTCCAGTTTGCAATCCTTTCGACCATGTCGTGGCCTGGTTGTCTATGCCGAGTGCGTGGGAATACTCATCACATAGGTTCGAATGCTCATCATGGCTTCAAAGGATTTTCTCATTAACACATCACGTTAGTGTGATTACTCTTTGTAATGAAAGAGGAGCGTCTGAAGTAAAACATTCCTGGATGACAGAGCCAGAGTACATGGGGGCGATTGTGTGAAAATTCTTCATTCGGCTTCAGTGGAAGCCTAATGAAACCCTCGTGTGCTCAGTAGAACTCCAGGATACAATCCATTTTGAACATGTCGTGGCCTGGGACGTGTGCGTGGAAATACACACCACATAGGTTTGAATCCTCATCACGGCTCCTAAATATTAACTCCTACGGAGATAAAAGATGAGCTGTAGATAGGCTAAGAGAGGCAGGCCGCTGTAGTGAAGCTAAGAAATGGAGCCAGATGAAGTGAAGCTAAGAGAGGAAGACAGCTGTGGTGAAGCTAAGAGAGGGAGACAGCTGTAGTGAAGCTAAGAGAGGAAGACAGCTGTAGTGAAGCTAAGAGAGGGTGGCAGCTATGGTAACGCTAAGAGAGGAAGACAGCTGTGGCGAAGCTAAGAGAGGGAAACAGCTGTAGTGAAGCTAAGAGAGGAAGACAGCTGTGGTGAAGCTAAGAGAGGGAAGCAGCTGTAGTGAAGCTAAGATAGGAAGGCAGCAGTAGTGAAGCTAAGAGAGGAAGGCCGCTGTAGTGAAGCTAAGATAAAGAAGCAGCTGTAGTGAAGCTAAGATATGGAGACAGCAGCAATGAAGCTAAGAGAGAAAGAAAGCTGTAGTGAAGCTAAGATAAGGAAGCAGTTGTAGTGAAGCTAAGATAGGGAGGCAGCAGTAGTGAAGCTAAGAGAGGAAGGCCGCTGTAGAGAAGCTAAGATAAGGAAGCAGCTGTAGTGAAGCTAAGATAGGGAGGCAGCAGTAGTGAAGCTAAGAGACGAAGGCCGCTGTGGTGAAGCTTAGAGAGGGAAGCAGCTGTAATGAAGCTAAGATAGGGAGGCAGCAGTAGTGAAGCTAAGAGAGGAAGGCCGCTGTAGTGAAGCTAAGATAAGGAAGCAGCTGTAGTGAAGCTAAGATAGGGAGGCAGCAGCAATGAAGCTAAGAGAGAAAGGCAGCTGTAGTGAAGCTAAGAGTATTTGAGTGTTTACCGTCAGCATTAATATCAGCGTGGGCGTGCAGGATGTGCACCGTCAGGGCCGCCACCACCAGCAACACAGTCTTCCCGCCCATCCTCATCTGCAGGAATAACAACAAATTATTACAAAATAATTCAATCTCCATTTAATTTATGGTTTAGATATACTGATGATATATTCTTCCTCTTCTCTAATTTTCATATACTTCTCATCCATACATAATATATATATATATATATATATATATGTATGTATACATATGTATATATATATATATATATATATATATATATATATATATATATATATATATATATATATATATATATATATATATATATATATATATATTATAGGGAAGGGAGTACCACCTCTGGCTAGAGGAAGGGGGACCCATAGCCTCGGAGGAAACCACACATAACGCATTGGAGGGAATGTAGGTCCCCTCCAATACAGTTTCTGTGTGCTTTTCTCCTACCACCCTCTTCCCTTTTTTTTTTCTTTATTGTGTATTTAAAGGTTACAAAACATACAAGACAAATGCCTAAAGGTTATGGATCTCTTGGAGCTCCTCCGCTTCTGGACAGGAACCGAGGACGCAGCAAGCATTTCCCCTCTGGATCGCCACACTGAGACGCTGAAACAAAAAACTGGAAGCCCTTGGGTCTCTGGTGACGTCAATGAGCTTGGAACCCAATTCCTTGAGAAATCCCAAGGCACTCTTGCCCCAGGGGCCATGTGTCTCAGACGCTATGGGAACAAAGAGGTATTGACCTTCCAGTCGCCTGTACTTGAGTGATTTTGCTGTTTCCCTGTGGTTGGCCGCCCCACCTGCTTGATCAGCTCCGAAGTGTACATAGGTGTCAGCCAGGGTGGATACACATGTGTAGTCCCACACCAACTGTCTACCCTCCTTCCATGAGTATATGGTGATGCCATCAGGGCGAAGTGCGGGGAAATCCGGGTTTTGGACACCTAGGATGCGAGGTTCTCTCTCCGCTGGGCACCTAGCTGAGACGAGGCTTCTCTTGATGATGTCATTGACCTCGTTGTGTCTTGTATGCCAGCCCTTTGTGCTTCCGCAATGCAACCCATGCAGTCCGTATTGGTCTGCTTCCACCCTGTTGAAAATTCACTTGTATTCAGTGTGAATTGGGGCACCAAGGCGGAGGGCCACTGCTACACGAAGGGATTCTGGATCTAGGCGCGTGCCCATTGCTGACATGGGTACTGCCAGGAGGAAGTCTCCTGCATAGGGGGCATGCACTGCTCTGAGGCGGGCTTTCTCCTTATCTGATGTTGCGACGCTGAGCATGGCATAAGCTACTTTTTCCACTAGAGGGTGGTCCCAGCCGGACTGTTTGTGTTGTATTGTTGGCTCTATAATGGTTGCTGGGGCTGCAAGAACATCCCACTGATTTATATATATATATATAAATATATATATATATATATATATATATATATATATATATATATATATATATATATATATATTTATATATATATATATATATATATATATATATATATATATATATATATATATATATATAAATGGAAATGTTCTTTTGTTCAAAATCGCTAATCTCTGAAAGTTCTTCACCGATTGCTTTAAAATTTTCACACAATGTTCCATTCGCATCTGAGCGGGTTTTTATATACATACCATATCGATATCACGTCTGTGACGGGAAAAAACAGGCTTTTTTGAAAAACTGTTTTTCACGTGAGGAAAATCTTCGAAACCTCTTTACCGATCGCTTTGAAATTTTGACACAACATTGCATTAGAATAGGCGAGAGTTTTTATATACCAAATATATATACATGCCTCACCTGTGACAGGCAAAAACATGCTTTTTTTTAAAAAACAGTGCCATCTGTTGGACGTAAGAGCAACATTCACTTTAATCTCCGCACGTTCTTCACCGATTGCTTTGAAATTTTGACACAACGTTCCATTCGCATCCGAGCGTGTTTTTATATACATACTATTTAGATGCCACACCGGTGACCAGTAAAAAACATTTTTTTTTTTTTTAAACAGCGCCATCTGTTGCATGTAAGACCAACACAAGCTATACAAAATATGTTACGATTCCATTTCAATGTTTTCGATTGCATTGATAAATTGAATTTTCATAGATTTTTATTTTTTTTAATTTTGATATAATTATTTTGTGTGACATTGCGTTATAATTGAGTTATGTTGTTTACCATACCGTTTATTTCGTGGGTATAGTTAATTGTTTCTTTTTTCATAGTTTTCTTTTTGTTTTTTAACTGTTCTTATTCTTTTTCAGTGCAATTGGTGGTAAAATTGAGCTGTGTCGATTGATCTGTGTTTGAATTATTGAAATATTTCGTTAGTATTTTTTGTTTTTGTTTTGAAAACATGAAAATGGACAACACGTTTATTTCACAGCTGCTAATGTGCAACAAACAGCTATGAATCCACTGGCTACAACGTTAACTGCTTTCTTCACGTTATGTCAAAATGACGTGTTTGCGAAAACACTGCTGTATTCGGAAGTACCTACGTATTACTATTATTACGTATAAAATCATTTGAACGACGCAAACGAGGAGCTCGAGTCGACGGACAACCTGGCATATTCAAATAAACTACGATAGGCAGACTGTACACCGTGCAACCCAATCAGGATGAATGCTTCTTTCTTTGCATACTGTTGGTAAATGTGCCCGGTCCAACGTCTTTCCAGCCATTGAGATTTGTCAACGGCGTAACACATGCCACTTCCTGTAGTGCATGTCAAGCTCTGTATTTATTGGAGAACGATCGGCACTTGGATGTATTCATTAATGACGCGTCCAACACGTCACATTCAAAACAAATTCGTGCATTGTTTGCAATCATATTGACCACCGGCTCTCCGTTATCTCCAACAGAGTTATGGGATAATTATAAATCGCACATGGCTGAAGATATTATCCGTCGAATACGCAAAAAAAAAAAAAAATATGAACAAGGATTTTACAGCAAAAAACTTCAACGAAGCATTTATAATGATTGAAGACTTGTGCTTAGAAATCGCGAACAAAGTTCTCAATCAATTGGAAATGCCATCATCGAATCAATCTGATGCTGCTTCGTACGACGTAGAATTCCGTCGTGAACAAAATTACAACACTGGTGATCTGTTGTCTTATGTTTAATCAAATATTCCTAGGCTAACGCTTGAGCGAAAAGGCATTAACAATCAAATAATTCAAACTGTTAATACCGGGCTTGGAGAAATCTTCTTAGATGCACCAGGAGAAACTGGTTAAACCTTCCTAATTAGATTGATTCTGGCAGCATTTCGATCCCAAAATGATATAACCATTGCTTTGGCGTCGTCCGGAATTGCTGCGACATTGCTACGAGTTGGAAGAACTGTTACTTCGACTTTGAAATCGCTATTGACCATGCTATTCAGTGAAACGCCCACAAACAACGTTTCCAATCAATCCGACATGGGGAAAGTATTGCAGAAATGCCAACTTATTGTTTGAGATGAATGCACAATGCCCCTCAAAAAATCGTTCGAGGCTCTTAATCGATCATTGATAGATTTGCGTGGAAACATCAGACCATTTGGGAACGCATAAATATTGCTTGCAGGAGATTTCAGGCAAACATTACCTGTAATTCCTCGATCGACACCGGCGGACGAAATAAATGCTTGCCTGAAATACTCTACTTTGTGGCGCCACGTAAAGACATTTAAATTAACAACATATATGCGTGTAGTTATGTAGCTGTAGATTGAAAAAGTATTTCCTAATATGGAAACCAATTATGAGAATCACGATTGGCTGAGTGAGCGAGCTATTCTTGTGGCCAAGAACTAAACGTCTACGACCTTAACAATATTATTCAGTCTAACATTCAAAGCGAGGCAGTCACATACAAGTCCGTTGACACTGTTGAGGAAACAGATGAAGAGGTTAATTATCCAACAGAATTTTTTAATTCACTCGATCTGCCAGGGATACCATCACACGTACGGCAATTGAAAATTGGCGTGCCAATTATCATGTTGCGAAATATCAACCAGCCAAAACTTTGCAACGCCACGCGCCTTCCAGCAAAAAAATTAATCAGCAACATCGTAGAAGCAACAATCTGACAGGACTTTTCAAAGGGGAAGATGTCCTCATTCCTCGCATTCCTATGATTCCAACAGATATGTCATTTCAATTGAAGAGATTGTAATTTACAATTCGATTGGCGTTTGCAATCACCATCAACAAAGCTCAGGGCCAATCTTTAGAATTGTGCAGTTTATATCTAGACACGGATTGTTTCTCACGTGGACAATTATAAGTTGAGTGTTAAAGACGAGGCAAACCAGACAATCCCTATATCTCCACAGATAATGGAACAACATGAAATATTGTATACCCACATGCACTGTGAAATTAAACATATTAGAAACGTGTGCTTTCTCTATTCTTTCGTTGCCATTTAACCAGACTGAGGCACAGCAACGCGTGGCGGGTTCTGCTAGTGTATATATATATATATATATATATATATATATGTATATATATATATATATATATATATATATATATATATATATATATATATATATATATATATATATATATATATATATATATATATATATATATATATATATATATATATGTCGTAACTAGTAGCCAGAACTCACTTCTCAGCCTACTATTCAAGGCCCGATTTGCCTAATAAGCCAAGTTTTCCTGAATTAATATATTTACTATAATTTTTTTCTTATGAAATGATAAAGCAACCCTTTTCTCTATGTATGAGGTCAATTTTTTTTTATTGGAGTTAAAATTAACGTAGATATATGACCGAACCTAACCAACCCTACCTAACCTAACCTAACCTATATTTATAGGTAAGGTTAGGTTAGGTAGCCAAAAAAAGTTAGGTTAGGTTAGGTTAGGTAGGTTAGGTAGACGAAAAAACATTAATTCATGAAAACTTGGCTTATTAGGCAAATCGGGCCTTGAATAGTAGGCTGAGAAGTGCGTTCTGGCTATTAGGTACGACATATATATATATATATATATATATATATATATATATATATATATATATATATATATATATATATATATATATATATATATATATACATATATGTGT